GTGTGTGTGGGAGTAACGCTTACACGGGAAACCACCCCCCCCGCGCCGGGGGAGGAGATGGAGCAAAATAAAAAATTCTGTGAAAAGGCCCAAGCGTGGTGCCGCGTGGTTTCTGCCCAGAACGGCGCCAGCTGGGCCCTTGACACTTGAAAAGGTGCCGCAGCAGGCAGCCAGCTGCTCAGAATCATAAACAAGGGACAGACCCTGTCCTTGAGTTTTATTTTTCTCAAGATTAAACATGTCAGGCAGATTTCTGAAGCATCTTTTAATCGGAGATAAGAGTAAACAATGGTATAAAATGGTAACAACTCAAGAAGTTTCCAAAATTCTGCTCATGATAGAAGACCTGTGTGTCAATCACCCCCAAGTACCATTGAGTTAAAAAAAAAAAAAAAAAAAAAGCAAAGCCTATAGTGTGGCTGCCTTTCCAGCCCAGTGATTCCTCCACACAGTTGCAAAATCAGAGCAGCAACATTCACTTTTGTCTTGGGAGTACAGACAAGCAGGACTGAAACATCTCATTTTGTGGAAAGTTAAACACAGCCCACCAGTACTGGTCCGCCCTCAGCTCAAGTCCTAGCTTAGCCAACCATAGCCAGTAGGTCTAGAAACATCTTCGAAACCACAACTTGCAACAGGAAGAAAAAAAAAAAATAAAATGTTTAAAAGGCATGTATTGTGATAGTTGTCTTAGGGGCAATAGACCACCCCCCTCCCCCATTTCAGAAGGCTGTAGTCAAGACTTCAGAGGGGCTTGCAGCACCAAAGTAGGCAGCAAACGCTGGCCTGGTCCCTCGTGGCAGCAGAGATGGAAGCTGTAACCTTCGCATGTAGCACCCCGATGGCGAGTTAGGACGTTTCTGTTGGAGCACAGTCCAACTCAAAGCTTGGCTCCAGTCCCGAGCGCTCACAGCAGGGGCTGAGAAGAAGAGTCTCTGCCACAGCCAGGGTAGCTTGGACGTGGAACCGCGGGGCCCTGCGTTCTCTGTGCTCTTTAAAAGTGGCTTCTGGAGTGCATCAGGGAGAGATGCTGAACCTGCACTGGAGCAAACCGTCACCGAAATGGCGCCGTAACCCTCCCGCTGTCGGCAGCCAGCCTAGTCCAAACTTGTTGTGCCTTGAGTTGATCCTAGTAAAAAACAGTTTGTCACAAACAAAGATACCTCTGCAAACATCGACGGGACTAAAGATTTAAGTACAAAATGGCTTAAAGTGAAATCTGCAGTTTTGTTTTTGCCCTAGCCATCAGCTTTATCCCTTCTGTAGTGCAAAGCCTCTGACTGGTCTGGACTGTGCCCGTTTCAGATTTGCTAGAGGTTTCTGGGGAAGGGGCATCTTGATTAAAGATCACTTGGGAATGTGGAGCTCAACACATCTAGATATTTAAAGATAAGTTCGTGTTTGCTCAAGGCCACTCCACGGCCTTACTCCTCTTCTGTCCACTGGCCACTAGCCACATGGCCATTAATGCGGTTGGAGCCGTTACTCGAAGTGCTGAAAACTCCTTTTGTGCTGTTGGAAGTCACATCCTCCTCTTCAGAGCTGCTCTCTACATCACTGCGGTCATCTTTTGATACCTAAACATTTCAAATGAAATTTGGTAGTGGAAAGGGCAGAAGGGAAGTCGAAAAATTCACAGAAAAACAGTAGTTAGAAGGTTGCGTCCCTGTGATTAACCAGCTTCAGTCAGTTACATTTACCTTCTACATTTAATCGTGAATCACTTCAAGCTCACAAGGAGGAACTTGTCATCACATACAGAACGCGAGAGACAGACACTGAAAATGACAGTTTGGAAATACCAGTTCCATTTTCCAGATATTCTGTACATCTGTGAAAGCACTAGACTATCTTTGCTCTCACCAGATCAGAGGACACACTCGATCTCTGGTTGTTCTTGTCTTCCAAGAGCTGCATCCTAGATTGGTTAAAGGCTGCTTTTCCAAACAACAGATTTGTTTTGAGTCAAAAAACTTCTCACACCGTAATCATCAGTGGGTACGGTGACCAAAACAACACGTATATATTGGTTTTAGAGAGAACATTTTGTCCTGTGGGGAGTGGCTTTGATATTTTAAAAATTAACCAGCTATATTTACGACGTTACTGTCTGCACAAAGTGCCCCCCAGTTTCACAGCTTGTGATTCATACGTGAGACTCATTTACGAGCAGAAGCCTGTTTGGACAGCGGGCTGTAGAACAAAGACAACTATCTAAATCCAGCAAACACCCGTTCAGGGACAGAAGGAGCATCTCAGCCTGCAAATCTAGATCTGCTTTACGGAGTTAAGACCTTGAGTTAAAAGACTGACTGCAAATCCAGCAGAGTTCGATTTGTAGATGGGGTTTGGGCCTCCAGCAGCAGAGCTGGGTGTGCTGGGCGGCTGCTCCGGGTGCCCACGCACGGGGAGGCCGAGGGAAGAGATCCCCAGCCCGGCCCTAAGGGCAAACAAGCCCCTTGGCTGGTGGCCGGGTGCCAGAGCAGAACCTCCCCAGCGCCGGGCGGGGAGCGGCCGCGCTCCTGCCGCTGCAACTCGGAGCCCACGATTACTTCACGTGCGAGCACTCTGCAGCTCGCGCCTTTCCGGGGATTTCAGGATTTCATTCCACTCGGCTCGCTCTGAGTCAGGGTTAGGGCTTTCGAACAGCACCAGGCAGGAAGTTTTTGAACTCGAGGGAAGACCTGGCAGAAAGCCAGGTAAAGTTAATGATCTCCAGGATTGGTTTTGACAGGCCTGTTGGATGTACTGGCTTCTCTCTGCTGCCAGAACTTTTGGTATCTTTCCCCACTCTCTGCTACGTTGGAAGTTCAAAGAGTCACTGGAAGGAAGCAGAAATCCCTTGAAATGTTTCCCTTTATTTGGGGGACAAGTGACTGTTCCACTCTTTTTCACGAAGAGCATTGCATTTCTCCTGTCCTCACTCAGCACAGTGTTAATGAGCACTAAAGGCAGATATCAGAGTTTCTGTGGGCGTATAAAAGCAGAAAGGTGAAGGTCATGCAGCCAGCTGACAGCAGATAAGAACAAACCCCAGGACGCTGCTTTGACCTTTGGAAAAACCTGCATTTTAGCATAGTCAGAACCAGCACTATCAACCAGGGAGAGAAACGTGTTAAGAGAAGGCACCAGCCACCTAAAGCCCCAAGACCGTAGAGCTTTGCTTTTCTTTTTGTCTGGAAACAGACACAGACGTGTTTAAGTGAACAAGCACAGATCACACTTACATGCAAAGGGTGAAACTGTGCAGCTCCAATCTGGCACAGAGAAAAGGAGAAAAGAATGAAGACAGAGCTTAGAGTCCTTTCTCTGGCTAGGTCACCTGGACAGGAGAGAACCAAGGAAAGGAAAAAGATGTAGATCTCAGGATACAGAAACCGCTGCACAGACAGAAAATAAGACATTTGCAGTAGCAGCTGTGAGGAACGGATGAAAAGATCACGCGCATCATCCTCTGAAACACGCCTTCCCCCAACAATCACTGCCAGACAGCTACAATATAAATATTTTTCAAGGTTACATTCCACGTGACAGGGCAGCTAAGAAGTCAAACACAAAATAAAGTAGAGCCATGAGAGAAAAAAAAAAAAAAAAAAAAAAAAAAAAAAAAAAAAAAAAAAAAAAAAAAATCACACCAGAACACCAATTATCTGATTAAAAAAAATGCATTTGTGCTATAAAATCAGCTGTTGCTCTCCGGTAGCTGCAAAGGAAGTGGCTTCTCTTGATGGGTAGGCCGGGTGTCAATTGGCTTGTGCTGTCTCATGCTACTTCAGTTGAACTACACCTTTTTGCCTGGCAACAGAGGTTGCGGCCAAAAGTCAGCACTGTTCACTCTAAGGGCAATACCCGTTGCTAACCAGCTGCTGTAGTTTCACCCTCCCTCTGTGTAAGACTCCCAACACAAATCAGAATTGGAATACTCAGCACCGAAGCGAGACTGCACCCCGTGAGCCCCCTGACAACCAGCAAACCGCTGCATTTCTGCTAACGCTTTGCATGCTGCAGCTCAATGCCTGGCCTGCACCCACAGCCAGAAAAGCCTGTGAAGATGCATAACCCTCATCACACCCCAAGAACCAGCTGAGGTTGGAAAACGTCCTATGTGATTGTTCAAAAAAAGACTACTACCACCTTAAGCTCCAAGCAAAGTACATAACACATCTGTCATCATTGCTAGTGTTACAACACCCGAACGTACTGGAAAATCGTGTTATTTCCCTGCATGACCAGAGCAGAGAGGAGAGCACCCCTGCCTCCCCATACACCTGGCAGCTCAAGGCTGCAGAGCAACCGAGGTAGAAAAATCACCCCTCTAGAGAGCACTCCTGATGCAATTCCCTTGAGAACTGGTACCAGCCCTCACTAAAGGGCCCAGTTTCTCACAATTACTTAGTAGTGCTCGTAGGAAAGAGGACCCCAAGGAGTCGGCAGCAATCTTACCTTTCCCCGCACGAGAGCCTTGTAGGCAATGCGAATGATGAGATAAGACCAGATGACATGCAAGATCTGCAAGGTTATCAAAAGCCCGTTGAATAGCCACCACGAAGGATAAGGACCAATCAACTCCCAGCTTTCAAACAGGGTTGTATTCAAAATCCTAAAAAGAGATCCAGAAACACATTAGAGACCGGCTGTGCTGGTAACATGGCTCTAAATTAAGAGGAGCAGCCAGATGCACAACAGTTTGTATCTCGTTTAAGCATCTGTTGCTTTGCTCCTGTCAGAGCAGCGATGCAGCTAGTCTTCTTGCCAGAGTCAGGAGACAGACTAAAGCTTATTAGAAACATTTGAACTGAGCAACAAACAGGAGAAGATGTGAATGTTCTGCAATTCGGTTACACATACAGATCTGCTGCCAATTTCCTTCTCAAAAGCCCAAGCATTTATAACAACTTTACAGGAAGTGATGTCAAGCTGCACCGGTCATCAAAACAACTGTTAACACGCTCATACTTGGGCAGTCTTCACCCATATTTAACGATCAGGAAGGAATTTTGTTCCCAGTAGGCCTCCCTCCCTGCGAGCTATTCTCTTCCCTCGGATTTTTATAGATTCCCCTGCCAAGCTGGAGGACTAGAAACTGCTTTATGGATAAAGCTTTGCACTTTCTTTCATTACTGTTTTGCTGTTCTTGTCGCTGGGAGTTATTGCCAGTACTTAAGTAATTTAATAAACACTTTAGATTTTATGAAGTAGGGAGGTATGGAGAGACCTTTAAAGACGTCATTAATTTCACATCGCTTTTAACATTTCACGAGAAAAGAAAAACAAGCCCTTCAAAGAAGAACCCAAAGTTCCCCAAAATGCAGCTGCAGAACCATCTAACTGATAGCCAGTTTATGGATGCATTAAATGCCATTCCAGAGATCTGTTGATGTTTTCTACTGCTAATTAAGAAAGGGAATATCCGTGAAGTGAAACAGCAGAGGGTCTGCAATAGCTCTGCAAGCTTGCCAGATTTCTTTGCAAAGTTGAGGAATTACATTACAGCCAGTGGAAAATACATTAAAGATTTACAGGACTGCTGAGCAATAGCATGATGCAAAAGCATCACCTCATGACAGGCAACAGCTATAAAAACAATGACAGCTATCTCATCTGTCACTGGAAGGAGCCTATGAAGACATAAGAATTAAAACTCCTCCTTATCCAGACTCCTTTGCTGCATTTACTGAAAAAATTTAGTTGCAACCCAGAAACAAAGCACAAGTATTGTTTCTGCCTACCACCAAGGCACCCAAAAAGAATGGGAATGCAAGCTGTCCATTGCCTAGGAAATAAATATATGCAGTAAAACCAAAGTAAACCGAGTAATAATCGGGTGTGACAAAATTTTCACCACACTTTCAACAGAAACAAGAAGTAGGTAAGAGCTCATCAACAGAAGAACCTCCCCAAGCCTGACCTATTGAGGTGAGAGGGAATCTCATTACAGGATGATTAGCTCTAAGCCATTTAGCCAGGGTTTTACCTCCCAAGAAACCTAAGACCTATTTCGGGCTCTGAACGGTCACGACACAAGGGTAGAACACGAGTGTCATAAGAATCAGAAACTGCAATGATGACTAAGCCAGCCACTCAAAAATCAAATTTACCTCAAGAGACCACGTCTCATTTGTAACCATTTCCAAAACTTCTTAAGAGAAGCACAACAACCCTTCGAGCCTTTCAGAGCAGACAGCGGCTGACTTGGCTCCAGCTAATAAGCTCTGTCATCACTTTGCAGTAAGAGGAGAGGGGGCAGCTGTGCATTAGGATTCCAGTCGCTGTTCGTGCCCCCTCAGCTGACTGTCGAGAGGTTTCTTCACACGCCCGGTTGAACGTACTGCTCCAAACAGGACTCGGGTTGCCTAAAACTTCAGGCTGCCTTGAGGGACAGGCTGCAAGGCTTGCATGGGGTCTAAAGGCTTTGCTTAAAGGATTGGAAGAACAAACAAGACCTTAGAGCTCAAGGTGCTTACCAAAAAGGATAAATACCCAGCCGCGTAACAATGAATACGACACCAAAGAGCATGAAGAAAGCATCACAGAGACGTTGGTACTTGGCATAATTGGCTAGCTTTGCAGCCTAAAAGAGACAAGAAACATGAGAATATTATTCCCTTTGTGTACTCATGTAATTACCAGGCTGTAAAGCTTCAAAAACCCTCAAGCCATCTCATTTGTAAGGAGTTTGGAACATTTAGGGATTATTCTCAGCGCTAAAGCTGTTATGAGGAAAAGCTGACAAGGCAGGATCAGCAGCACAAGTTTTATGGCATATTTAATGCAATTTATCAAGAACGGGGAAGTCAGCTTGCTCCTCTGAGACCACGCTAGCACCAGGCACGCAAAGATCTGAAAGGAGACTCACCTCTAAAAGGAAATCTGATGCATCGTGGAGGCACAGCACCAGAGTTCCAACCCGCACCATATTATTCATGTAAGAGAATGTAATGAGTCCAATTGTAGCCAAATGATGGACGAACATGATCAGGAAGTCCTGGAAACAGAAAAAAAAAAAAAATAAATAAAAGAATGAAGACTCTTTGGCTGTCAAACAAATCAAGGTTTGGAACAGAGGCACAAAGCTCACTAACCGGGGTCACAGGATTCCTTCAGTTCAGACTCTGACTCCACTTTACATAAAGCACAGCTCATCACACATCACCAACCATCACCACTAACGGTTCCAGAAAGGTCTCTCCCAGCATTTGTGCCCCTGTTGAAGTCAGAACTCCACAGCCACAGGCACAGCACAGTCTCTCTGGCACACCCATGCAAGGCAAAGATAAGTACGCCCGCAGAACCCACTGAAAAGATTGACAGGACAACATACGGCCCTTATTTTTGGCTCCTTTTGGTTTTACAGTTATATTGCTAGTGCCTTCAGTTCTTGGCACAGGTTTAAGTATGCTGCTGTTACTGTTGTCAGCGTGCTAAAGCCTGTCAGAGCATAGCAGGCACAGAACACAAGATAACCCAACAGCAAGAACTAGGCCACTTCATTAAAAAAACGTTCACAATGCACATACATTCAGGGCTGGTTTCCAGTTTAGCCCCCTGGGTACAACAATTCCATGTCAATGTACCTTCCCCGGGCTCGCAGTGGGGAATGTAATCCGCTTTGTTCAAGTCAGAGTACAAATTAAACATTCTAAACAGTATCACAGATGCTGTTAATCACTCCCTTTCTGCAGCTCCAAGATATTCTGTAGTGCCTCACCTGCTAATATTTCAGCACAGAAAAAAAAAAAAAAATTAAAAATCCCAGACCAACTTTTCTCTTTGAACAGTCAGTGCCAGAACTGGGATAATTTGCTACTTTGCAGTTTGTATAACAGAAGCAATAAACTATGATTTACTATGAACTGTTTTCCAACAGCAAGCCAAACCCTAGAATGTAGCACAACAGAATTAGATTCCGGCAGTTGTGACCAGTCATCATTCTGCTACACACACACACACAAAAAAAAATCACTTTCAAAAAACCCATTTATTGTTGCTTCAGCGTTTTGCCATTTTCTCACACGACTCAGCAAGGTCCTTCCTGCCTTGAGCATCTCATTTTCACGGTTTCTTGCAAGCCTTCTAATTAAATCTATTTTTATGCAATGATTTGATAACTTTTTATTGGGAGGTATTGAGTGATTCCGTCCTTTCCCCTGGAAGGCGAATGGGACTCTCAAGGATAGATCAGGCTTGCTCCTCCCTTTTCCCCCAGGACTGCGTAGTGATTACAGAAGGAGGTAGACTACACAAAGATATGGATGAGGAAGAAAATATAGTTATTGCTACGCTTTAGCTCGACTGGCCAGGCACACTCACATTTTTTTGTTAGTCCTATCTACTTAGCAAAGGGGTTAGTGCAATTCTGGTTAATCTCACCTTCCGTTTAATGTCTGTAAACTGAGAAAACATGAGAGACCAATAAAAGGCCAGCTCCAAGATATAGTAATAATAAAGCCTGGATGTTAGAGGCTGGAAAACAAACAAAGATAGCACAGTTAGAAGACAAAGTACTTTAAACTTTACATTAAAATAGACGACTTCTTTCCCCTCCCACTCTTCCTCCAGAATGCTGAGGCATAAGTCAAGATCCAGAATTAAGGTTTAGTAAAAACAAGCTTAAGCAACAGACGCCTTACTTTAGGCTTAGTCACACATACTTGTGTGTTTGAGCTTTATTCAAAGGGAGTGAGATTCCCTTGTCAATATTTACAACTCATACTGTAGCCTCTTGGATTAGGAAAACCAGGCACTGCAAGAGACTGTTGGCCTCGCTACAGTCAGACTTGCCCAGTGAAAACAACACTGTAAGTTATCAGTATCTTTTATGCATCATTTTTTTCCCCACTTTTAATAATTAAATCTCATCAGCAAGTAAACATAAAACAAATATGAACTGAGTCAGTTCCATCCAAGGAAACACTGCTGAGGACAACCCTAACCAGGATTTGAAGACATAAAGAGTAAAAGCCATCTTTGTACCTTCCAAAAAAGAAAGCTTACCAGGTGCTGCCTGTGCAGCATCCACCCTGCAGAACAAGCAGCACTCACTGCGTTTCAGTCTGCTATCATTAACAAAAAATAAAAACTGATATTGTGCAAAAAAGTTGGAATCCAGTAAGTGTTTATCTCCTACCTGAAAAGGGTAGTTGTACCAGCACTGTCGTGTGTCCCAAAACCAGGGTGCCTAAAGGGAAAAAGGGAAGTTGTTATTCTACTGGGTTTCTTCTTCCCTATCATTTAAGGCAGATGACCACTACAGTGCTGTTCCACTGGAATTTTATTGTGATTCTCCCATTCAAGCTAAATTTATTGTAAAGCATCCTAGTGATTTGAAATATTCTTTCCGCAGTGAAAGGCAAGTTATACTGCAATGGAAATTCACAGAATAATCACACAGCTCTAATAATAACAAAGACCCAAAGAGATGAATCTGTATCCCTTCAAGAGAGAGAGAGGAAAAAACCAAATAAGCAGCTATCCATAGCAAAAAAAAAAAAAAAAAAGCAGCCCAGTTCTGTCCCATCCTGGGGTAACAGCACAAATACATTTCTACTATTTCCATAATGACAGATCTGTACAGAAGCTTTCCTACAGCATAAAGAAGATCCTTAAACAGAAACCCCAGGATCCCAAATAAGGGAATAAAGATGATTATCACCACTAAACCCTCCTTGTTTGAAGGTAGGTGCAAGCACTGAAGATGTGCCACAGGTAGTCAAACCCCCTAAACTTCAGGACAGGCATAACCCAGCTGCATGTCACACAGAACAACAAGGGGTGGGGGGAATGATAGATCAACTCACCGTCCAGAGAAACCTGATTCCATAAAAAAATATACTTAAATAAAATGTAAATCTCCACCTGAAAAAAAAGAAGCAAAAATTAAACTTATGAAATAGAAAGAGCTTCTGGTTAACATTTGTAACAAAAACTCGTGAAAAACCCCAATTCTGACACCTGAAAAGCTTTCACCCACCAAACAGTAATCCTTCATTTGTAAACATTTCATGTAAGGATAAACCTATTTCAGAGTTTTCACACCACACACGAGTTTGCATCCACAGCCAAGTTTGACATAAAGTTCAGAGTGAACATGCATCATTCATATGCTTTGATATACAATAACAAGATAACAACAAGATAAGTCATTGTTATCCAGAAGGCATCCTAATATATGTATTTGTCCCTCTTACCTTGTGGCTTTAAGTAGACAAAACCATACTGGGGGGAAGAATTAATATGAAGAAAGTTACTGGAAAGGAAAGAAACCAGCACAGAAGAAATAACAAGTCAGGAAAAAATATTCAGATGCTACTACACTAACAGAGGTAACCGCAAGCAATCAGAAAGAAACGAGGAACAAAAGAATGAACTGAAATGAAAAGAACAGGAATCCAAGAAGTGTCTGTATAAAAGCATATATACATGATTGTGTAAGCCATAAGGTCGTTCTGTCTGGGAACAAACGCTGGTCTACAACAGGACTGCAGACAGCAAACTCATCTTCAGGGTAATTACTCGAGTTGTGCACATGCACGTGCGCACACACGTGCACCCCGAGGTGCTCTGTTTGCATGAAGGGCCTGGTTCACTATCTAGTGCTGCTCATCATTGACAGGAATAACTCCTGCGCACGTGTTCTGGTCTCTCAAGCACGTATACAAAATATTTTAGAACGCTGAAAGCCCTCCTAACTTCTTTCATTTGCCTATATAAGAATTTGTCTTCCACCAACCAGCCCCCAAGACACTAGTTTAAATCAGCAGCTGACCACAGTTTCAGTTAGGAAAGAGAACATACAGCTGGAGCTTTGAGATGAAGCCACATCTTGGCCTCTGCACAAACATACATGCTCTCACAAAATTTAGTGAGGGTGGTGGGTTTGTCCTGGTTCCTCCGATGACGAAACCAGCGCTGGATCTTTCGAACATCCCAGTCTAGCTGCTTTGACAAGCCTTCTAACCTTTTTCCATCTGGAGACTGAAGGAAAACGAAACAAGTGTCATTTCTCCTACTTCTCAACCTACTTTCAGTCTGAGACCCCCTCTGCACTATAACAGAAACGATGCACAGATAACGAAACACACACACTAAGAAGGCACTAGGTACAGACTAGAAGCAGGAACCCCTTGCCACAAATGGTCATTCAATTTAACCTTCATAAGCCAATTAATTACTTAATTATTCAGAATGCTTTTGGTTTAACATTTCCTCACCTATTTCATCATTTGACAGCACGTTACGACAAAGAATGCAATTATTCTGATTCTTAATTTGGGAGGAGGAGCTTTTAAAATGTCCTGTCCTACCTGTTAGAACTTGCACATCAGTCCAACAGCCCAGAACTGAGGAAGATCAAAGCTGAACACATTTTAAGGGTTGCTACTCACTGCAAGTTTAGGGAAACTTTAAAGTAAGTGTTGGTTTAACACACTAGATATCTGTATATTCCAAAAGGGCACAGTGAAGATGGTGTTATTTCCATGATCAAAGTTTATAAATCAAAATATGGAACCTGAAATAATTGTATGATAAAGAACATATCACTGTCCTCTGACTGGAAACTCTACTCGCAGTTTATTTGTTTGAATAATGACATAAATGGATTTATAAGAGACAAAGTGAACAAAACCTGATAACTACCTCTAAAATGGCCCAGTGGTGAGATAAGCCACGTTAGTTCAGTGTCCTTTTAACAAGCTCTGCCAGGGAGCTCTTACAACTGAAAGATGATAAACACATTTTACTAATTGAGTCACATGCAAACCCCCAAAACTACGCAGAATGCTGATTTAACGGACTCACCAGACTGTTCAACTGGAAAGCAAAATAATCTGTCGTTTGATTTTCAGTATGGAGACCCTGACTTCCCTGTAATTCCATCACAACCAGCTCTCTCTGCACTTCACTAGGCTTTAATGGTTGGGGCTACCTGACACTTCTGCATTGGAAGTGAACCTGCCTCCAAGGAGAATTTACAGAGCTCTGATTTCAGAACAGCAATGAAATCTTTCCCCTGCATCAGTGCCACCCTACATTCTGATTCTCCAAATCCGACAGCAGAGACAAGCACACTGGTACAGTTAAACGCAGCTCTGTTTTCCTAAGCTAGATAAATTTTGCACAGCATGTGTCCCCATGAGTTCCCTGAGCATTAATTTCAAGGACATCCCCTACATAAAAGTCCTCCCCACTAACGGCATCAAATCACAGGGATTTTTTCAGTTCACACGTCATTCCAAATACCTCAAAACTTTAAAAGTTCCCATGAGGCGAGTTTTAGTAGGGTTTTTATGGAATTTCCCTTCTATTCACTGAGCACTTTATCTGCTCCACTCAGAATGAAGTTCAGCATCACCAAATCAGAACATAAAACCTTCCATTTCATTATCTTTAATGAAAATCTATCACGCTGTCTGCGTGGATTTCACTGGCAGCCTTCAACAGACAGTGTGGAGCTCTGTAATTCTGAAGTGAAGGAGCACTGTCAGTTTAAGTGAAAGAAAGTCCATGAAACAATCAAAAAAAAAACCCCCACCTACTGTCAACACTAAACGTCCTACCCTTTATCAGGGCACACTTCCATTGACTGAACGTTTTCCTTAAATAACTGACTTCCACTGGGACAGCTGTTACCTAATTCCACAGTAGATGGCAAAAATAAGAGGAAGGCATTCACGCAACTAGGCCAATAAAACCAGCAAAGGAACAGAGCTCAAGGAAAAGAGTAGCACTTTTCCAATAGAAGGTGAACGATACTGCAAAATTTCTTGCTAAACCAAGAATTACCACTTGATACAGGACTTACAATTTGGACAAAGATGGGAACTAAAGGAAGAGGCCCCGTACCTTTCTAAAAAGAGAACATTTTTTTATTCAAAGAGATGATTCTGTGCACAAAAGCATAGGTCAGCCATAAAGATAATTTACTTTGCTACGAGAAGGACATGCCAGAGGCAAAGTAAAATAAGAAAGAGCACATTGTGCATGCACAGTGTGAAATGCATTTCTCTCAGACTAGAAAAAAGTGGAAGTAAAAAGCCCCTCCACGCTTTTCCTTACAGGCCTCTGTTTCTAGCAGAATTTGAAGCATGACTCACCTTCGTGATGGATGTAAACACTTTCTCTAAAATTGCATTGGGCTGGGCTCTGTGAGGTCCACTGTCTTGAATGCCAAGGTTTATGGCACACGGCTTGGCAATAAACCTGGAAGAGTTCCGAAGAAAGAGCTAGATTAAAAGAAGATTCTCTGTTTCGCCCTGTCTAAATCACAAGGACCCTGACTTGTCGCCAACTTCAAAACCTAACCAAAAAGCTTCTGAGGATCTCCACTCACTTCGCTTCAAGAAACTTCATAGGTGAAGCAATAATATCTTTTATTAAGTCCAAATGGTAACTGCAGACAGCACTTACCAGTACACACATCTAAAGTGAAAACTTAAATCTTGACATCTTGGGCCTGTAAGGATCAGACCGTGCTCCCTCAGGGTGATTCTCATTACTCAGAAATAAAACAAATCACTGATAGGAATCCTCTGCAAGCATAAACGCTAGAGCCCTCGTAGCCCTATAATCAAAACACCTTATCTCCAGAATGTGCCTCGGTGTCACATAGCTCAGAAAAAAGTTCCTAAAAGACACAAGGTTTTTTTGTTTTAGGGTTTGGGGTTTTGGGTTGTTTTTTTTTTTGCCTCTGGGAAAATTAAAGTAGCTTGCTTCCTTTGGGAGAAGGAGGAAAATGTAAGAAGTCACTCAGTCTGAAAGACCCAAGATCTCCGTATTTCACTCAGCCCTGCGTGCACCATGTATTCCAAAAGCCAACCTGACACTTAGTGAATTTTATGCCACAAACGCTCTGAAAAACACGTTCAAAAATGATTAGGTTTTGCTGTACCTTTGTGTCAAAAAGGGCACAGGATTCTAACGAAAACGCACGCGTTAACTGAGCATGTGAATTGTTTCCTGTTGGTGGGCATGGAGGGGAGTGTGTGTGTGTTTTCAAGGAGCAATTTTAATTATTGTTTTAATCAACTATTTTGAGACAGAAAGAGAGCAGAGAACCTCTTTCTCAAAACCAGTTTTGAAAAGGACCCAACATTTGCATCATTAAATCTATTTTGCTTTGAAACGGAGATTGTTTCAGAGACAACTGAAGACAAACTACACATATGTATCCCATTTAACAGAAAACGCTGCTTTTTCCAACCACTACATTTGGGACCATTTCTCCTTGTGTTTCAAAGGATAAAATTCAGGAGGATCACAATTTACAATGGTTAGTACTTCAGTAACGAGTAGCTACAACTGCTTTTAAGAACAGACACAGGTTGTGGGGTTTTCCCCTTGAGAAATTACAGATCAGCTCATGACTAATCCTAAAGGAACTCCCCATCTCTCAGAAAATACTAAACCAAGTAATAGACACTGTGGTCCCAAGTTTCACCGCCCTGCCTCATTTCTTCACACGTCCTGTTCAACAGTCACAGCCTTAAAAAAAAAAAAAAAATTAAAAATAAAAAGGAAAGGGTGATTTCCTTTCAGCTTGGCTCAAAAGGCTCACTGCTTCCTCTATAATCTAGACCACCAGCCAGAAATTATGTTCTGATGTTATGAAACATTTGGCTAGACCCCCCCCTAAAAGTGTAAATCTTTATACTCTTCTTTCCTACAGGATATACCACATCAACAGCAAAGAAATACACATGTGCAACTACAGGATGCCAAATAGTTTTATTAATTTTCTGGGATACAGGGCTTATAACTCTATTAAAAAAAAATAAAAATCCTGGTCTGAAGAAACTCAGTTTGGGTCAGTTTTTTCACTTAAGAGAGAAAACCTGAGAAAAAAAAAAAATCTAAAAATCCACACATTCAATTGATTTATTATTCAGAAGAGTCTTCTTTTGTTTTAAGAACAAGTAAAGAAGAGAAGGAATGGTTAAGAAAGCTCATAGTGATCCATACAAAGTTTTGACATTATTCTAGGATTCAAAACCTGAAGCATCAAGGAAAGAAGAAACAGCACCTCTTCAGGAAAAAAAAAAAAAAATGCAAAAATAATTCAAGTTGGGACCTAAAGATTAGGAAAAAAAAAAGCAAAATCCAACAACAAAACAAACTCAAAACTTTGCATACAACTATTCCGGAGTAGTAGGCTTCCTTCACTAGCAGGCTTAGGGAAAAAGTACAGATGTTTCCAGAAATCAGGGGGGGGAAAAAAAAAAAAAAAAAAAGAAAAATCAAGAGTAAGCCACAGGGTATAGATACAGCGCAGGACTCCAGGTACCCAGTCAAGCGTGCGGGTGACCAAAGAGCAAACCAAAAAAAAACCAACCCACAAACGTTTCTAGGTGCAGACAGACAGACAGACATCGACCCAGCGAACGGACAAGTCACAACAATGGAGGCAAGGGAGGGAGTCCCGGCCACAGAAACAGGAAGGAAAAAGGATGGCAGCAAAGGATTTCATGACTTTTAGGGAAGTCTAACCCAACGCCACAACACAGCTTCTCTTAACTCCGCAAATAATGGCTTCGGGCAGAAAATAAATGGCAAATGTCCTTCTGCAGGGCTCCCTGAGCAGCCCCGCGAGGTGTTTTCACCTCAGGAGCCCGAGGAACAGCCACAGTCCGACTGCTCCGACCAGTTACCACCTCGCAGGTGGAGTAGGAAGCGAATGATCAATCCTGCTGTCAGTCAGAAAAATAGCAAGATGACGTGCTGTTTCCTTTCGGTGTCCATTTAGGAAAATTCACACTTAAAACCTCTCTGGCATTTTATAGTTTTGGCCCCAGAATAGATTTTCAGATGTGCAGGTTTTGCACTGTATCCCACAGGGGGGGAAAAAAAAAAAAAAAAATCTGCATAGCAATAGCAGTTAAGCACCAAAAAGAGAGGCTGCCCACATAACAGGATTTTCATTTTTAGCAACATTCAAAACCAAACAGCACAAGATCGTGAGGAACCTGACTTGACTAAAACATTGGCCTTGCTTGGAGGAGAGGATGGGACAAGGTGATCTCCAGAGGTCCTTTTTAATCTAAATTATTTTATTGTTCCACAGAAATCTTAACGGCAGGAGCTATTGCCAAGGTCAGCTTATTGCCACACCTTCCCAGGAAGGAATTATCATCACTTAAATACTTATATTACACTTTTCTAAACAGGTATCTGCTCATTGGCTTAAGTCATACCTACCAAGCTACCTCTTTCACACTAGTTATTAAGATAGCCTGATTTTGAAACCAACACCAATTTTCAAGTACACACACACACACTCATGTGTTACAACAAATATTTCTGAGGCACGTTGTACTTCACAAACCCGAAGGCAGAATCCTTCTCTGTGGAACACTCAAGTTTGTCTGATGACTCCCTATTACAGCTCCAAAAAGGAGGAGCCATCTGAGAAGTAATAAGATTTATAAAGCATGCGCTCAAAGAGTTCACATTTCCATAATCTCTCAGTTTCACAGTGTTGACAAAACCACCTCATTTCACAACTGTCCCTAGTTTTTCAGACAGACCTGATGAAGTGATATCTAAAATCAGTTCTTTCTCCCCTGCAGCTTAAGCACAAGCTTCCTCAGACCTGCAGAGTAACAAGACTATCTGTCACTGAAGGGCATCCCAGTGCAATTATAAACACATCATATGAATAAAAGGCCCCGGCTTCTCACAGATACCTGGAATTTTTTTTTGTGCCTGTAGTGGGACAAGATGTGGAAGGACAAATAACAGCAAGTGTAACCAAGAAAAAAAAATTAAAACCCCAAACTTGTGGGCAGAAGTCCTTTATCTTGCCTGCACAAAAATCCACCCCCCTACCACTGAGTCAGGACTTCACCTTCCTCTCTAAGTCTTGCCTCCTCTCTCTATAGTCATCTACTTCCCACAAACGATCAGCCTAATGAATATTTTACCAACACCATGATGCAAAGGTTAATTTATAGGAGCATTCACTAACAGAAACATGTGTCAGCATTACAAGTGTCCGTGTCACAAAAGCACTTCCTCACTCTGAAGATCTACAGCAGGAGAGAGAAAAGAAAGAAATTAAGAGAAGCTCAAACAAAAGAGCTGCACGAGTATGTAATTCAAGTTCTGAGTCATCGAGTCCGATTGCCAAACGTGTGTCAAGAAAGACTTTGACACAATCATCCCCGAAGTCTGTATCGGGGTATACACACAGGAGGATTTTATTAAGACACATCTGAACTTCTATGACATGTTCAAAGCGGCAGGATGAAAGAGAAAAGCGTTTCTTAAAAACTACGGTCTATTAAAATAAACATACCAGAAACTGCCCGGGGAAGTTGCTCTCACAGTCTGCTTTCACTTCAGGATACCCCCATTGAGACACAGTATAGCAAAGACAGCTGAAAAAAATAAACCACCCCCTCAGGTAGGACACACCGTATCTGTCCTAATGTCTCATAGTCCAGAGAAATGAGAACTCTTTGCACTTCTTCCCCAAACTAAGACACCTGGACTAAACAGGGCTTGGAAAGTGAGGAGACTTTCCTACAGTATCATTTTCAGGGGTATCCTCCTGTCTCACAACTTCCTTTCCTTGTCTGCTGGCAAGCGTGACCGTTTGGCCAAGACCAGCAGTAGCAGGCTAAGCCGAGATGAGATTTTGGCGCTGCCACGTGTGTTCCTGGGTCCTCTGCACTGGTTTGAACTGCCAGTAGTTTTTGGAAGCTTTTTATTTTTTTTTGGAAGGCAAAAAGATAAGACGGACAAAAAAGAGCCTCTCAAATTTCTCTCCTACTCTGCTGACCTGCTTCATTTTTCTCCACAGTTCGCCTTTTCACTTCACCCCAGCCCCCTCTTCTTTAATTTCTGAAAGCTCAAGAAAATTCACACTTCTTGCACAAAACCCACAAAACGAAACCAACTCGATTCTTACTCACTTCAGCCCCTTTCACGCTCAGAAATACTTCTGCCCTTTCAACGTTTAAATTTAAGATTAAATCAATCTTTAATGAACTAACTGAAGAGGAATACAAGGTGTCTCGCTCTGCACCTAACAGTTTTCCTAAATAAGCAGCTTCACTAATTAATATCTATGTCACCCACGCAGTCTGCCCTGCGTGTGGCTGTAAGAGATACACATCGTGGAAAGGACAAACCTCTGCCCCGGGGAAGAGTGTTTGTGGATACTGGGGTAAGCCAGAGCTACTGTATTACACCTGTTTATGGGCAGATACGATGATCTGCGCACACTTCCGTCATGCCCGAGATGCAGGGGATCCACAAATTGTTTAATAATACACTAGGCCATGAGAACCAGTCCTATTTCCTCCTCCAGGAACTCT